AGCAATTCTCCTGCCTCAGCCTCCCGAGTAGCTAGGATTACAAGCATGCACCACCACGCCTGGCTAATTTTGTATTTTTAGTAGAGACAGGGTTTCTCCATGTTGGTCAGGCTGATCTCAAACTCCTGACCTTGTGATCCGCTCACCTCGGCTTCCCAAAGTGCTAGGATTACAGGCACGAGCCACAAGGTTACTATTCTTAATAAGGCAAAAGGTTACTATTATAATAAATGAACTATGTCCACATGTACACACCCATAGCTCTGTGACACTGTCCTCTCTTTGTGGCATGCCTCTGACCTTCTTTTTGTAAAGATGATTTTTTTCTCAGCTTTGATACTTGTATGCTCAGTAATCTTAAGTCGTGGTCTTCCCCATAATCTAGGTAAGGAGAGGATCTGGACAGTTTTCCTTTGTTTTCCAAGTCAGCCCCCACCCTCCTGAGACCTTCATCAAACACAAATGAAATCCATTTTCTTTGTGCATTCAGTGTGTCTCGGCAGATGTGAGTCAGCATCCTGTTCAGAACGGCTGTTGGTGCCTTGCCATGGACAATAAAGACACACATTTTCCATGGAATGCCAGGCACTGGAGCTGACTTGGGGTTTCCACCCGCGGAGAGGAGGAGGAAACTCCAGGAGGCTGATTTTGTGGTTTTGGATGCAGCCATCATTTTAAACTGCAAATGTTCTCTATGCTTGAAAAATACGGTAAATGATTTATGGGACCCAGGACCCCCAGGTTTCTCCTGGCACCCTGCTGTCAGCAGCACCTCCCCATGGCATTCCCTTGGCAAAGCTGTTGCTTCAGATTAACTGGCATTTGGAACAGTGACTGACCTCTGGGGTGCCCATGATCCAAGTGTTGAAAATATTGTTGTAGTTAGCTAATTAGATTAGCTGGCTATTTTTGTTCAAGGAGTAAATGCTTAAAGACTTCCTTGTGCTGTTTCCCATCAGGAGCCAAATACGTTTGTGTCTTGGTTCCTCACCAATGTTGGAAAACTGTAACTTCTATTAGTTTTGAAAAAAAATTGTAAAAAATCTGCCTGAATCACAGAATTCATGTTTTCACCCACGTTCTGTGGGATCACCCTATCCACATCACTCTTCCTTGTGGAGAGCCTTTGCTTAGATGACTTTGTGGTCACTCATATCAGACACAGGAGGAAGAGGATGGAAAAGGAAGTGTTATTCAGGTTTTCTGTTTCTTCTTTATGCCCTTGCCCCACCCACTCAGTTTCTTTAGACCCTGGGCCCTTCCGCCCAGCAAACACTTCCTTAAGCACTGGAACACGACAGGTCAGAGAATATAAATCAAGGAAGGCAGAGCCCCATCTCCCGGGCATCTGGCACTATATTGAATTTAGAGCTTTCTGGTGTCCTGGCACTGGCTGTGCATTGTTGATGATGATTGTGCTGATGTAAGTATTCGAGGTTCCGTCTGAGTCCTTCAGTTGCATCCTGGGTAGAAATGGTGAGTAACCGGATGACCTTTGCAGCCTCAACCTGTACTGAACAATTTTTCACAGGAATAAATGGCCTCACCAATTACAATAGCAGGGCAAGAGGAAGCAGCAGTGTTCTAGAGATAAGATAGTTCAATCCCATTTGCAGATGCATGTATTTGGTATTGCAATATAGGACATGACTTAAGTGGCTTTGACTAGGCAGTTGATCCTGGCTTCATGATTTTTTCCTCTTTCCAGTTCAATTTGAAACATGCAGACAATGGTATGGGAGAAATAGGTGATGCAGGTGAGGTTCTTGGGCAGGGCGGTGGACGGGAGTCTTCTACTGGCAGAAATAGCCTCCATTTCATTTCCTTGTAGTTAGTGGCGTTAGTACTTGTGCAATGCATTACGGCTGTTCACTTGTAAAGTCCCAGCACGTTAGATACTGCCTCTCAGCTGGCCGTTAGCTTGGTAAATAATTTAGGTAAAATACATTTCGATTCCTTCAGACTATGGTTGTTGCTGCCTCCTAGGTAAGATTCAGGTTAACCACCCAGGCTCTTTATGGGGATTTCCAGTAATTGGATTAAATTCTATCTCTGCTGGCTGGACACTTAGCTGCTATGGAAAAAAAGGCAGAAAGCTGTTGCGTTGACTAAGAGTGTGGGACTGCGTCGCAGCTTGTGGAGTGAACTCTTTAGATATTACTTCTTACCTGGGTTGTTTGGACAAAAGTAAGCACTTCTTTCCCTAAAATTGTAGTCGACCCTGTACCTCACAAAAGCAGTTGGCAGAAGTAACACAAAAGTCTTTTAGATAGGTAGATTTCTCAAGACGTTTCCATTTCCCACCCGTGGTTATCATTTTCTGTTGGTGATTCTCAAATAAGGAATTACTGGGGAGCTTGTTGAAGTGCTGCTTCCTGGGTCCCAAGTTCTAGAGAGCTTACTTACTAGTTCTCAGGTAGGGCCCAAGGGACTGTGTTTGTAATGAATGCTTCATGTGATTTTAATGCAGGGAGGCCAGGAACCACATTCTGACCCAAACACAGACTTTGCATTTGTTTTTAAGAGAGAATACTTTTTCATGGGTCAGTGTTCTTGGTGTGCATTCAGGCCAGCCACCCCTAGGTTGACTTCTCAAAGTATTAGAATTGAGGTTAGAGGATAGAATTGTGTTTTGTGGTTGGTTCTTCAGCATTTTCGGTTGGTGGGTAATAAAATTAAGTACAAAGCAAAACACATTAATAAACAAGTGGTTTTCCTGATATAAAGCTAGAGTCATAGAATTTTGAGAGAGCAAGAGAGCAAACAAACAAGCGAACACATGTGTGGGTAGGCATGCATGCACAGCAGCTCGGGCCTATGTCCACTTTGTGGATATTTTAGAGTCTTTGAATTAATCTCTTCTGCCTGTTCCTAATTGAAACAAAATGTAAGTTTAAAATTATATCCAGTAGTGTTTTCTGGAAGCAGAATATGGGGGTCATTGTTCAAGCCCCCTTACTTGTGCCAGTATAGAAGCTGAGACCCCGGGAGAACAAATGTTTGCACACACAACACATGCAGGGATGGGCTGCAGTCACTCTGAGCCTTAGAGCCTCCACTTATGAAATAGAGAAGTCACTATCCCCACTTGGTTGTTATGAGGATTAAATAAGATAACTTGTCTTACGATGTTTGGAAACTGAAGAGAATTATATAGATGTAATTCCTAATTATTATGCATACTGTGTTTTCTTCTAACTGAAGTATTTAGAGCTATTCGGGGACTCTCTTGAAGTCACTAGTTGATTCTAGAGCAATGACTGCCTACCACTCGCTGGGTATTTAAAAAAACCCATTTATGGTCGTTATGGTGAACTTTGAAAGTACAGATAATCAAAAGAAAGAAAATTTAAAATTATATATAATCCCAACACTCAGATGATAACTATTAAAATTTTGATATAGAGATGTCTAGATATTTTCTTATACATGCATACACATTTTATAAAAATGAGAGTATACTGAGCATACTGCTTTACAACCTTTTTTTTTTTTTTTAACAGTACCTATATTGTGGATATTTTCCAACATTATTTAATACTTCTATGCCATCATTTAAAATGACTGCATAGTATCCCATTATATGGAAAAAAGAACATTTAATCAGCCTTTTATTGGACATAGGTGTTTTTCCTAACTTTACTTTTCAATATTATGTACAGTGCTGAAATAAGCATCTTTGAAGCTGAATCTCATATCCAGCAATTGGATTGCTATGTTTACCTTGGCTACTCTAAAAATCAGAGCTAAAGTTATAGATGCTACAGTTAAGATAGCCAGCATATTGATATGGACTTGCTTTGAAATGAGCAGATACATTTTAAAAAGTTATTTATTTTTATACCTAGAAATTCTAACTTTATACTTTTTGGTCTGACACACTTGAGAACTGAAAATACTTCCTCTGTCAATCTGCTGTTTGTTTTTGTCTCAAGCATTACAGTTTTGACCTTTCTGTTTCTTCAGGACTCCTCTGATTTTCTTCAGGCCAAGCCATTTGTAGTTTGCAAGTGACCTTGTAGGTTTAGCAACTCTACTCTCTCACCCAAGAATTACCTATCCGGTTATGGCAAAGACTCTTTCTTTTATTAGACAAAGTTAATAATCAGTCAGGAGAGAGACTTTTCACATTCTGAATTTGCAAACTGTGCTTTCTTAAGTTAAATGGCATGTTAGGAGTATTTCTGATATAAAATTGGAAACTTTCAGACACCAGAAGGCATTGCTTATCTTTGTAAATACACATGTTCCAATTAAAATAGGTACTAAAATATTTTGGTGGCACTTCAAAACTCCCAATTTAGATTTAATTTAGATTAAAACACTTACTCTTTTTAATAAAGTTATAAAATTGATTATTAAAATTGCCTATTGAAGATTAAAAGCAGTGGAACGTTTATTTTCCTTACAAAACAATTTTGTCTTCAATAAGTATGATTGCATTAATCAATTATGCTATGAAAATACAACTGCCATATTAAATCTGACTCATTTGTCATGACAGTTTTTATAATTATAGAAATTATACCTAGCAGCTTATATAGCCATAATCCTGCAATAAATATAAATAATTATCTCTATTAATTCAGTTTGCAGTTACTCTCTATTAAATCCCGAGTTAAATGGCAATTTGGGGACCTTCATTTAAAATCCTACTAAATCTCTGTTGTTCCATCTGACTGCCAGAGCCCCACATATGCACCTCCTACTGTTGATTCCAGAAACCAATTTATGAATAAAATAGTTTTTAAACCACAAATATTTAAAAGGTCCATTTAAGCTTGAGGTTTGAGGCTCTCAGGAAAAAAAGGAAAGAGAGTGTACAGATTAGGTAGAGGATGCTGACAAAAGAGCTGGAACAAATCTTGGTGTCTTGGTATTTCCGTTTGAAAAACAGTATATAAACTTCAGTTTGAAAAACTCTGCTTGACACCTTCTATGTAAGCCCAAAACACTAGAGTATACGGTTGAGTAACGATTAACAACTTGTATTTCCATAGGTGTGGATGAGGTCACCATTGTCAACATTTTGACCAACCGCAGCAATGCACAGAGACAGGATATTGCCTTCGCCTACCAGAGAAGGACCAAAAAGGTACAGGCAATTCCAAGGATGGAGGGCATTTCTTGTTGAATTTTTATTTCCTCAGACATTGCTTTTTCTTTTCATGAATTGTGGCTGTCATGAGCAAAGACTTCTGGGACCGTTGGATATCTAAGATTCTGTTTTTAAATCCTTGTAAGAGTCACTGCACATGTGTGTGTGTGTGCACGACACACAAACACATGTGGCCTTTAGAGCAGCTATCCCCAACGTTTTTGGCACCGGGGACCGGTTTCGTGGAAGACAATTTTTCCACGGATGGGAGGGGGAGGGATGGTTTTGGGATGAAACTGTTCCACTGTAGGTCATCAGGCATTAGATTCTCATAAGGAGTGTATAACATAGATCCCTCGCATGTGCAGTTCACAGTAGGGTTTGCACTTCTATGAGAATCTAATGCCACCGTTGATCTGAGAGGAGGCAGAGCGCAGGTGGTCATGCTCGCTTTAGAGTGCTTGGGAGCTCCTGTATAAGGACAGTACCCTTCTCCAACCCAGGCTACCTGGAGGGAGAACTTCTGGGAATAGAAAGTTAGAAATAGGGAACGACAGCAACAGGCACCATTTATTGAGTGCTTACTTTAGGCCAGGCAGGGTGCTCAGTTTTCTACATGTAGCAACTCCGTTTCATCTTTCTGACTTCTGCTGGTTCTGGATAAGATGTTTCTAATTTAATTTTAGGACACTAGCCTCCACTGAGTGTTGATCCTAACAAGCTCCTCTCATTTAAACAATATACACATGAATTCTTAAGCGTTTTGCAACGAGTGGGCTTAGTTGGCAATTCATTTGGTTTGCAAAGCTATCTTCAACATGCCATGCTCCTACTATTTAAAGGGTCTTTGTGTGCTTTTTCCCTTTGCTTGTCCACTAGTGGTTAAGAAACAACCAGTGCGTGTTCGTCCTTTATTTTGTCAGTTTTAGGAAATTTTATTTTTAAGGATGTGCTGCTTTATTTTTAACTTCTTGCTATTAAAAGCTTTTGATTTATTCTTGGACAGTGCAGTAAGTGTGGCTTCCTGCAGCTCCCATCTGACTTATGGCTTTCACTCGTAGCCACAGTGGAGGTGAGCTGGAAGGATTCTAGAAGAGACATTTCTGCCCTTGGGATTGACATCACCAGCAGGGTCCTGGGAGTTGCAGGTGAAGCCTTGCTACACTTCCATTCCCCACACTCTAAACAGTTGGAAAGGACACAAATAGGAAAGCATTTGGCTTCTTTCATCTCACGTGCATTAAAATTCTTCTTTCACTAGATGTATGTTAATCTTCTGTAGTGAGGCGCAGAGAGGAGTGCTTTATTTCTCCAGCTTCCCAAGAGGTTGTGTGAGCTGGTTAGAGCCAAGTTCCCATTGGAGCAGAAGGCTCATCTCTGGACAGCATGCAAAAAAATTGATCTTTCGGCTGTCACTGACAGAGTCTGGTCTTGGAATACATTTGGGTGTGTACACACAAACATAGAAGCCTGGATCTGTTTTTTTTTTTTTTTTTTTTTTGAGACAGGGTCTTGCTCTGTCACCCAGGCTTGATTGCAGTGGTATGATTCAGCTTACTGCAACTTCTGCCATGTGGACTCAAATGATTCACCTCCGCCTCCCAAACTGCTGGGATTACAGTCATAAGCCACCACACCCAAAACCTAGATCTTGGTTTTAGATTAGATATATGGAGAGCAAAGCTCCCATGTACCCTCTTGGAGAGAAGATATTACCAGAATTACGATGAGGTCCCAAGATCTCACAGGCTTTGCTGTGTGCTGGGGACAGCTCACCATCCTTCTAATTCTTGACTCTCAGCCTTAGGCCAGGGAGAATTATGTATCTTTTATAAAAGATATGTAAACTGCTTGAGATAGTTTCAAGTGAAGCAATCGGCTGTTTGTGAAATAAAGAAAGTCTGTGAAATAAGGAAGATTTGTGTTGCAGAGTTCTTTAGGGATATGGGCTGCGGCTGCCCAGGTGATGAGCTTGAAGAACCTGGGCCCAGCTAGCAGAGCAGAGAGGAGCTGGGAGAGACAGCTGCTTTTACGATTCTTTCATGTTCTAGCAGACGCCAGATGCGAGGCTTCTTCTTACAGGGAATGGTTATGTTTTGTTTATCATACATTTCTGGAGTTTTTGTTTAGTTTTTGTTAAATGCAAAGCTCTGTGCTGGACATTGTGAGAAACAGGAAGTTGAACGCCTATAAGGAGTTTAGAATAGAAGTAGAAGTAGTCAGTAGGTGCCCAAATGCTATTTGAGGTTTGAACAGAGAATGGGTAGAGGGGAGTGTCAAGGGTAGGCTAAGTTTGGAGTTACCTAACCTCAAAGTTCCAAACTGGGAGACTGGTGTTATAATTGGGAGCTATTGCTTTTACAGTCCTCTCCTAAGTGCCATGTGTTCCCAGGACATTGGGAAGCAGGAGGAAATGGGTGGCGAAAGGCTTGGGCCAGATGACTTCTAAGATCCTTCTAAGACTTTTGATATCACGAATGATTCAAGATGGTTGTCTCTGAAGCAGGCTGCAAATCACCTCTCGTATCCTGCAAGTACCTCTAGGGGCTAAGTTTTGTAGATGCCACGGGTGCTCTTAGAAAGCAAGAAGAGAAAGAAAGGAGAGAGAGAAGAGAAAGGAAAAAGTGAAAAGAAGAACATTATTTCAGTAGGAGATTTCAGTCATCAGCCATGATTTGTAGGAAGTTTAGCCCGAGGAAGCATCGCTAAAAGCCCCATTGAGTTGGGGTGTCTGTCTACATACATGGGTGCTGTCCAGACCTCTGACTTAAATTTTCGTGTTCATGGTGACAGTGGAACCCTTAAGAAATTATATGCAGCAGCGAATTCAAGGGGGCCAATTCGGAAGTGTTAGTTTCCTATCACTTCTGTTAAACACGGTCCCAGTTTGGTGTGGACAAAGAGATATTTTCTCAGTATTAGATACAGTGTTTTGCATAGGAAGGTTTCATGACCTCACTTCCAACTGTGTTGGGGCCTCTGGTTCCTTCTGGAGACTTTGAGGAGCTGCCGCTGGAATGGCTGCCCCCGTGTCTTTTACAGTATATCAGGAGGCCACAGGATCTGCTTCCCAGGAGGCTGGCTGCTCGAACACCTCCTTCTTAGCAGGGGCCTTGATCTTGGAAAGTGTCCTGCCTTCCACGGGGTGTTACCGCTTTCAAGCATGTTGCAAAGTGCCTGCACTCTCACAGCTTTCTGAGGAATCACATACGACTCCAGTTTCCGTTTATTGACTGGGGAAGAAGGCAAAATTAACTTGGATTTTAAGGAATTTTGTTAAAGCAAAGCCTGATGTTTATGTTTCTGAGATCTGGGTCTGTTGAAGGGAATGCACTTGAGGGCGTTTGACCCAAGACTCTGGAGTGGTCACAGACTCACAACCTGCTTCACAAAAAGATCCCTTTTACTTTTGTTTTACTCACCAGTTTTAAAGTAAAATAAATATTTTCCTCATGATTGCCTGTTTTCTTGAAGGAACTTGCATCAGCACTGAAGTCAGCCTTATCTGGCCACCTGGAGACGGTGATTTTGGGCCTATTGAAGACACCTGCTCAGTATGACGCTTCTGAGCTAAAAGCTTCCATGAAGGTAAATGCGTGTGAGATGTCATCTCTGTCAAATCTGCTATTAATTTTGTGAATTACAGCTTTCTGAGTGTAATTTGGTGATTTTCAGTTTTCTTGAATTCTCATTTGGAACCATTTTTTAAAAATGAACTGAAGTTATACATCTCAGGATTTGTACCAAAAATATTTCAATTACTTGTTTTAAGACTGTAAAGAAATTTTATGATGCTGAGAAGTCAGTTACCAGCTGCTACTACTCAGCACCTGGGCAATTGGAATACCATTTGGGAAAACGACTTCCTTGATTACACTTCCTTCTTTAAAAAGATATGTTGTGATATTAAGGCAAGAAAAAAACTCATCTTTTGTTAAGTGAAGCTTGCAAATTCTGCCCATCCTTTCGTGGGTGTTTCTTCCTCCCATATTCTGTCAGTACCATTTGTTTCAAATTCGGGCAGAATCAGAACATCATAGTGCACATAAGGGGTAATTTCAGATGATGAATCATACCTGAACCGTACCTGTGTGAAGTCTCACGTTATCTTTTATGTTTTTCTTTTGCAAAGTTCTTTTGAACCTGGAATTTTTGGTTAAATTAAGTAAAAATTCTAGATTGGAAACCTCCTGAACTTTGTGCATACCTAAAACATCAAGTTTTTTGTTTTGTTTTTTGAGACGGAGTTTCACTCTTGTTGCCCAGGCTAGAGTGTAATGGCGCGATCTCCGCTCACTGCAACCTCTGCTTCCCGGGTTCAAGTGATTCTCTTGCCTCAGCATCCCAAGTAGCTGGGATTACTGGCATGTGCCACCACGCCTGGCTAATTTTGTATTTTTAGTAGAGACAGGATTTCTCCATGTTGGTCAGGCTGGTCTCGAACTCCCGACCTCAGGTGATCTGCCCACCTTGGCCTCCCAAAGTGCTGGGATTACAGGCGTGAGCCACCGTGCCTGGCCAACATCAAGTTTTATATAAATGCAATGGATGTACGCACATAAATGTATGTTACTGCAACACATTTGGACCCTTTTTGTAGTGTGGGTCTACAGCATTTGAACAGTCCGACACTGCCCTCTGCTGATATACATGGGTAAAGTCTGCGCTGTAGGGGGGAAGCCGTATGTCTGATTTTTTATTCTGAGTCTGAGTGTGTTTTCTCTGATGTCGCTGTTCCTGAATTATGAACAGTCTGAGCTGTAAGCCTGTCACCAGAGCTAATGTCACAGTTCAGTTGTCATCCTTTCCCCAGAGAACACAAGAGTGAGGCTGCTTTGGACACTGGGCATCTCCAGAGCCCCGAACTTGATAGCTCAGGGCTGCTGTAAGATTTGTTGTTAAGTCTCTTTCTTCCTTCAGTTCTTCAGCTTAGCCCAAGCTGTGCTCAGTTTATTGGAGCGGACTTGTCTGAGTTTCCTAAGTAGGCTGTACTGCAGAAAAGACATCATTAAGAATGATAAAATGTCAACAACATTTCATGATCCTGGTTGATAAAAATAGCACTCCTGAAAACCGAGTCTGTGGACCTTTGGAGGCAGGGATGAGTCAGCCTCTCCTAGGTTTCTTCTGACCATCAACACTTCAGATCAGTTTATCTTATTTTCATCAAGAATCTATTTGGTTGTGATTCGTGTGGCTTTACTGGTATCTATTACTAGGTATTAGTGACTTGAAACAGACCTTTTTGAGCTGTCAGTCACTGTTGTAATCTATGTAATTGGGCCCATGGAAGGTGCTTGAACTACTGAAGCTTTGACCCTGTGCCAGCTCTTCCATTAGCTGTCACAGTTGAGTACCCTTCCAAAATCCATAAAACTTGAAGTGACATTAACTGAACTATGCTTTAAAAAAAAATCTGTTTTGACTTCTGGCAGTACCGGTGGCAGTATCTGCCATATGTTACAGTAGAATTTGCCCTTGTGATAGGAATTGTGGATAGTCTGTGGAGAGTTTGGGCCAGGCTTTGGAAATTGCCAAGGTCACCTTTGAATGTAGACACAAAAACACTATTGGAATGATCAGATATTACCACTGGTATATCAGTGATGGAAGGAAACACATATTATTCTGCCTGTCTTGCAATTCTACAATGTCAGGATATAACATTTCTCCCAATGCGTGTTATTTTTAGACGATATTTCTCTCATCCTTGAGATTGAACAACTGCCCCTCAAAATATTTAAAGATGCTCAGTAGTCATTTAATAACATTTGTGTAGAATGCTGTATGGACTTTTTGCTAACAAGGGGAGAATTTTTGGCTTTGCTGGAACCTCTACAAATCGTGATTAAAAACTCAGAAAGAAGAGCCATTGGCTCAAAGATTAGATGAAGAATAAAATTCAAAATTAACCATTAACCTGAGGCTTAACTTATATTATACAAACTACTTTTTCAGGGGCATATAACCTGTAATAAGTTTAATTAATAGCTGACACACTTTTCATGTGGATAAGTAAGTTTCTTATTGTATTAACACCTTATAATTGATTTACATTTTAAACAGTTGTAATTCTACTTAGTTCAAAGTGGTATTTCCATATTCGGAAAGACAAGTATTAAAGAATCCTGATTATTAAATCTTGACTTTGATCATGAAGCCAGCTTTGAAATACATGTTTCAGAGTCCTTTCAAGCTATCTGACATGCTCAAAAGTGTATATATTAAATTTGAATACATCACCCATCAAATTCTTACTCCTTAATAAAGTGTTGGTGTCTAGGTTTATTTGGCACTTCATTATTTCTTTTTGCTTCCCTAAAATGCCTGAAGAGTGCATAATTATCAAGCAAAAATGGAAGGACAAGAATGAAATTTTTAACATTAACCCAATTTTACATTTCAAAGAGGTGAAGCTAAAAAATTTTTCTTAACTATACCTTTGCCTGGTAAAAAGACTTACTCTAACAATGCTGGCTGCAAGTGACAACATAAAATTTCTGTATTCCTTTATTTTAAATTAGCAAGAAGAATTGTTTAACGAAGAAAATTCTAATCTGTTAAAATAGTGGGTGGTTACTGTAGAAAGTGAAAAATAATAATAAGAAAAAGTTACTTTATATACCCTCAGCAAACAGCAATTACCACTTTTAACATTTTGGCATATTCTATTGCTGCCTCTTCCTAGTCACTCCCTTTTTTTTTTTTTTTTTTTGTGATGGAGTCTTACTCTGTCACCCAGGCTGGAGTGCAGTGGTGCGATCTTGGCTCACTGCAAGCTCCACCTTCCGGGTTCACGCCATTCTCCTGCCTCAGCCTCCCAGAGTAGCTGGGACTACAGTCGCCTGCCACCACACCCGGCTAATTTTTTGTATTTTTAGTAGAGATGGAGTTTCACCGTGTTAGCCAGGATGGTCTTGATCTCCCGACCTTGTGATCCACCCGCCTCGGCCTCCCAAAGTGTTTGGATTACAGGCGTGAGCCATGGCGCTTGGCCCCTATTCACTACTTTAAAAAACAAAACATATTAACAGTTGAACTCAGACATGCCAATTCCACCATCTTGTGCTCTGGTGAAGCATTTTTTAAAGGAATAGAAAATACCATTACTTTGTGCTAAAGGATAGAGTATGGATTCTTCAGTAGGAATGTAGAAAGCAGGATGCTAACAGACCCAACCCATGTTTGCGATTTACTTGATGGAGATCAGAGAAGTAGGCTAACGGTGGGGAAGCCTTTCCCTGCTGATGTTTGTGTTTCCTGGTTCACAGGGGCTGGGAACTGATGAGGACTCTCTCATTGAGATCATCTGCTCCAGAACCAACCAGGAGCTGCAGGAAATTAACAGAGTCTACAAGGAAAGTGAGTAGCTTGATTTCTGTGATTCATCCTCTCAGCCCAATTTATGGTATATCAGTGATATGGTATATCATGGCCACTGGGGCTAGTGTTTGGGTTAAGATGCCTGGATTATTGATGTACAGAAGCGCCTGCCGCCTTGACCATGCAGGTGAGGTTGGCTGTGGTCCAGGTTGCTCTCCTTCACCTCCTCATTGCCTGCATTTTGATTATTACATTCCACTAGAACTTCTGTGTTAGAAGAAGGGTAGACAGGAGGGAAAGAAGGGAAAACAAAATTTATTTTTAAAAATCGATGAGGAGAAGTAGCAAGTATTATATGTGGATTCCATTTACTGGGTGCTATTCAGTCTCTGCTCAAGAGGTTGCCAACTCTGGACTGTGGATAATTGAAGAATTACAGCAAGAGACCCATGTGAACCTGTGCACACTAAGCAGTATAGAAGGCTATGAGTGGAATAAACAATGCAACTTTACATTGCTACTGCATTTCTCTTTTCTTTTACTTTTTAAAGTTGATATAATTGTACATATTTTGGGGGTACATGGGATATTTTGGTACATATATATAATATGGAATTACCAAGTCAGGGTAATTGGGGTATCCATCACCTCACACATTTATCTTTTTTTAATATTAGGAGCACTACAGTTCTTCTCTAGCTACTGTATTTCAATATAGATGCTATTTTGAATATTGAAATATAGTTTCATTCAAAAGCATTGTTTAATTCTTAGTAGTTCTTGCCATTGTGCATTTTCTCAGTGGACAGTAAAGCACAATTGTGTGTGTGCATGTGCGTGTGTAGACCTCCATTTTTTTTTATGTTCAAAACGAGTACTCACAGTCAGGAGGGCTGGGAGCCAGTATTTAAACTACACAAGAGGCCACCGATCAAAGTTGAGGATCCCTGATTTGATCTAGCCCTGCTGCCCCCTGTCATGGATAATAACTCTGGCTCTGATTTCATGAGGGTGAAAATCATTCTAGTGAATCATTCCTCTGTTTGGGGTTAAGGAGAATGGGTATATCCAGCTGACATAGCTGTTCTTTTTTTCAGAGTCTTAGTGGGAAATGGGGAGATTGGGGTGGGTGGTTGGCTACACAGTCAGAAAGCATAAAACCAGATGTATTTTCCTCCAAGTGTACAAGACTGATTTGGAGAAGGACATTATTTCGGACACATCTGGTGACTTCCGCAAGCTGATGGTTGCCCTGGCAAAGGTTGGTTTCCCGGTTTCTTTCTTTGCCCTTGCTTCCTCCCAAGTCATGTCACATACCTCATTTTATACTTGGAGTGAATTAACTAAGTGCCCTGTGCCTGCATCAGAAATTCAGCTGCATTTTCGAAAGTGGGTTTGCACTGTCACTGCAGAGTTGTCAATTTTGTATAATAGGATTTCTTATCCAGCAAAACCTCATGGACAAGTGGACTTTGGGAGCCAGAGGAGGGATGGGCGGCTCTCAAGTCCTGGCCTGGATTTATGTGCCAGAGCCATGGCCGCGTGACTTAGGGAAGGTCACTTTGCCTCTATCTGTGGTCATGCAGGACCCAGTGGGAAGTAACCTTCTGGTTTCTTTTTCCTGTGTTCACTTCTCATGGAGGAATTTGCCCATATAGTCCTTTGTCTGGAATGGAGTTGTCTTTGTGGAGCTGATCACTAATATTAACACATTAACATGGAGGAAGGGGCACTTCCCCTGTGAATCCCTAGTTCTGGCCAGTGTGCAGCTTAATGCTCATGTGCCAGGGGAGGGATGAGAGACCCTGGGAACCCTGATGACAAATGACAGATAGTGCATCTGGCCACTCACATCTCCATTACTGCAACAGCTCCTAAGCCATTCTCCCTGGCTCTCCTCTCTTTGCTACCTCCTGCCCCGTGTACCGCCATCCACGGATCTCTGTGAAATACACTTTCACCATTTTACTCCCCTGTTCAAACCCCATTTCTGCTGCATCAGATTTAAACTCCTAACTACTGTGAAAGGTCCTCTAAACCCTCCCTGCATCTTCTTTGCTCAGATTCTCTCCTGCTCAGCTTTACTCTGACAGGGCAGCTCCTTACTTACCTGGGGGTGTGCTGTGCCATCCCTGGTGTACCGGCTGGCTCTCCCTCTCCACTTGGCTAGCTGCCTCTGATTGACCCTTGAAGTTTCAGCTTAAGCCCAGGCCCATTGTTCACACTCTTTGCTGACTCTGCTCTCTGAGAGTTCTTCCTCCTCCTGCATTTTGTGTCTTCCTAGTGCCGTAGTTCCCGGGCCGCTTTACATTTGTGTCCGCATATTCCTCCATCTGCATCGCTAGCTCTCTGTGGGAAAGAACTAAATCTCATCAGCTTTTTGTGGGGGATGGGGACAGGGATGTCTATAAGGTGTGTAGGCCAGGACCGGGTACGAAGGAGGGGGTTGTCGATGGCAAGGCACAGCCCCCACTTCCTTGCTCAAGGATTTTACCACTCCTTGGTTGGTCTAGGTTTCTTTTTCATTTTTTGAGACAGAGTCTCACTCTGTCACCAGGGTTGGAGTGCAGTGGCACGATCTTGGATCACTGCAACCCCCACCTCCCTGGTTCAAGCGATTCTCCTGCCTCAGCCTCCTGAGTAGCTGGAACTACAGGCATGTGCCACCATGCCTGGCTAATTTAGTAGAGACGAGGTTACACTGTGTTAGCCAAGATGGTCTCGATCTCCTGACCTCATGATCCGCCCGCCTTGGCCTCCCAAAATGCTAGGATTACAGGAATGAGCCACCACGCCCGGCCCTGTCTAGCTTTCAAAGTAAGAAAAATCTTAGGTGGATACTTAACTTATTAAATGAAGTAATGGCTTACATGGACTGGGGAGAAAACATTCTCAGTTTTAGAATACAAAAACAAATGGATTTGAAGTTCTTTTTTTTTTTTTTTTCCATAGGGTAGAAGAGCAGAGGATGGCTCTGTCATTGACTATGAACTGATTGACCAAGATGCCCGGGTAAGTACTGAGCTTTTGGTTTGAGTTTTTGTTTTCTGGTAAGTCTCTGGATAGTCTCTATGGTAATTTAACTCTCTGTAACAAATGGCTCCCAAACTCTGTGGCTTAAAAGAACAAACATGTATTATTTCTCAGTTTCTGTGTGTCAGGAATTGAGGAGTGGCTTAGCCCAGTGGTTCTGGCTCAGGGTCTCTTCTGAGGTTGCAGACGAAATGTTGCAGGGCTGCAGTCACCTGAGGGCTTGACTGGGTTGAGGGAATCTGCTTCCAGGATGGTGCACTCACATGACTGTTGGTGGGAGACCTTATTTGAGTGTCTTCACAACATGGCAGCCAGATTTCCCCAGAGCAAGCAGTTCACAAAGAGGAAGCCACAGCGTCTTTCATGACCTAATCTCAGGAGTCCCACCTTGCGCTGCTGTCATACTCTTTTCATTAAAAGTGAGTCACTGAGTCTAGCCCACACTTAGTGGGAGGGGATTAGCCTCCTCCTTTGGAAGGGAGGAATGTCAAAGAATTTCTGGCCGTATTTTAAACCCACCGTAGTCTGAGAGCATTGTTTATTAGAAGATATTCTTTTATAATGCTGGCATTGCTTACAGAATCAATATGTGACTCACATATGCTCATTCAGGCTTTGCTTCTATGGAAGCGCCAGTTTCTGCAGAGTGTAATGTGGCTGTGCACACCAATCAGGCAGGCAGGTGGGAAGCAGAAGAAGGTGGAGAAGACACAGCCAGGGACAGGACGGCTTACTGCTCCGTTGTTGGTGGGGAGAAAGGGAGGCCAGCAGAGACCTATCCTTTTCTGGCTGAGTAAGGCTTTTGCCAGTTCCAGTTCCATAATCTCTGAGAACTATTTGTTAAGCTTATTCAGACTGCTATGAACTATATTCCTTACTTAGAGGGTCAACAGTTATCTCAAAGTAAGTCATAAAAGCTGCAGAAAAAAATTAATTTAAATTCACATTAGTTTTACAGTTCAATATATTCCACACAGCACTTCTAGCAGGTAGTAGAGAAGGGTTTTAAATAAAGTAATAGGACTTGGGTTTTGCAATTCCCAGATGGTGGAAGATCACGGAATGAATATATACCCTTGCATAAGTCTTTCTTCCTCTTGCCTTTCCTGCCATTGTTAGGGCTACTTGTAGCCCCTAAATTTTCCAGAAACTGAAAATGAGACGAGATGGGCTCCTTTTCCAGCTCCATCACTCCCTGAGTCTCTGAAAAGCTTGAGAATGGAGGTCTGGACAGTAGTTGTCCAGTAAACATCTGCTAGCTTATCTTCCCCTAAATGTGCCCAAAGGGAGGAGGGCCAGATGTGTTTATGAACATTTACTTGACCTTCTTTATATGAATACAAGCTCTTGGTCCCTCCTTTCTCATTCACAGAAGGAGATTGTACAGCACAGACCTCACGAACTATCTGCAGTCTCATATGGTATCCATCTGTGCCTAAGGAAGACTGCTTGTGATTAAGACTTTTGACCTAAATAGTAGGTCTCTGCCCATGTCTGCAGTATAAACATTCTTCCTCGTTTGGCATTTTGAATGTATAGCTTTTTTTTTTTTTTTTTTTTGCATGACATTTTTTATGACCTTACACTGGATTGTATAGTTAACTTTTCCTGGTTGGTTGTACTCGTAGGATCTCTATGACGCTGGAGTAAAGAGGAAAGGAACTGATGTTCCCAAGTGGATCAGCATCATGACCGAGCGGAGTGTGCCCCACCTCCAGAAAGGTGGGCACTGTGCTGAGGGGGTCTCAGTGCCTTGGGGCTCTGGCTGGGGCGGCCGGGTGGATGTCCATGTTGGGATGGAGTCTGCCAGAATGAGGTGCTCTCTCCACTTGGCACTGTCATAGGCTCACCCATTTTTCCCTCACCAAGTACATTCACCTTTCTCTCCCATTCTGGATTCTTTTCTCTTGCAAATAGTTTCTGCATTTGGTGCTTTATTCTGCAGCTCCTTCTTGTTTGATGATCCTTTTATCTCGCCATTATTTGTTGAAGTAGACTTTGCTGCATGCTCTGTACTGTTTCCCGTGGTTTTCGGATGGAATAAGTTCCACTCAGGGGAGATGGAGATGGTCCAAATATGTGGCCTGGGCAGGGCCATTCAGGACAGGTGCATGGTATGGCTGCTGCAGGACAAAGTTGACCAATGTTGGCTCTGGTCACCATGGCAACCTCTAAGATCCTAGGGTGCTATGATCATCCTTTAAAAAATCATGGTGCATAAAACTGGGTGGGTGATCACTGATAGCTTTGACTAGTGGCTCTGATCTGATAATTCTTTGTTGTTTTTCCTCAGTATTTGATAGGTACAAGAGCTACAGCCCTTACGACATGTTGGAGAGCATCAGGAAAGAGGTTAAAGGAGACCTGGAAAATGCTTTCCTGAACCTGGGTAAGTGAATGTGGCCCCCATTCCTGGTAGACATCATCTACCAGAGCAGAAGTGACAGATGGCCATCCTCTTAATCCAAGTGTGTTTGGGAGGTGTGGCTTCTATGCATGCTTTGGAGAGTTTTACAGTCTTAATTGTATAGATTTAAGAATATAAAACTGAAGAACGGCCTAAATTGGTAACAGATTGTTGCCAGGGAGGAGTAAGAAAACAGAAGAGAGGGGTATTTTGTGGAAACTCACATATGCACTTGGGTTCTGCAGGTCTCAGAGTCCCCTGGTTTAAAACTGTGGTGGAACTTAGTATTGTAGAGGATTTCTACATTTCCCTTAGCCTGTTCCATTTTGCAGCCCGTTTCCATTGCATCAGGTCACTTCTGGTTTGTGGCCCAGGGTCAGGGCATCCTCTCTCACTGGTAGAGGAGAGACCAGAGCAGCTACAGCCCTGACTCCCTTTCTTCTCTCCACAGTCCAGTGCATTCAGAACAAACCCCTGTATTTTGCTGACCGGCTGTATGACTCCATGAAGGTAAGGGCAGCTGGCTGAGAGAGCTGTGTTTCCACACTCAGGTTTTCTTCTTTTCGGCCCCAGATTGAGTCTCCTTGACTCATGGATGGAGGAAGGGGACCCCACTGTCTGGATTCAGGAACACACTAGTCAGCTGTGGTTGTGTTTGACAGGTTGGAGCACCACAAATCCGTCTTCTCGCTCTCAGCTGCTTGAACATGTGTTGGTGTACAGGCAGAAAGTAAAGCGCCATGGGAGAGAGAAAATGCAACATGGTAGTCGTGTCTGATCCCTACTCGGGTTTCTCAGTGATTTCTTCCTGCTACCCCCAGAGTCAAGAGAAGCGAGGAAGGGAGTGATTATTAAGCACCCACTATACAGTAGACATGTGCTACCACCTTACCTTAAATCATTGCAAAACCACCTCTGAGGCTGATATGATTATCTTCTTTATACATGCGGAGACGGAGCTCAGAATACCTCAGCCTGCTTGAAGTTTCACAGCAAGATTTGAACCTGGGTCTGTCAGACCCCAAACACAGCCCCACAACTCTCCCCTAAACAAACCACCTCTTCCCATAGACCCATCCCATTTTCTACACCTCAAATGTGCCATGTGTTTTCTGGCTTCTAGGCTTTGGCATTTTCCTTCTGGTACATCTCCCTTGTCTGTGTGGCCTCTGCCATCTGTCTTTGAGTTCCATATCAAATAGCACCCCTTGGTGCCTTTGGTCTGATGCTCTGGAAGTAAACTCAGTGGTCTTTATTGCACATATCAGAATGGCACAGAGCGATGATAGAAATGTGTTGGCATGTCCCCTCTAAGCCTGCAGGAGTCAGGAACCTCTTGTTACATATGGAGACTCAGACTGCTTGAACTAAGCCTTGTAGTAGTAGGTGCTCAGTATATATTTATTGAATGATGGCATAGAGTGGGAATCTGTGCTGACTACAGCCTGGTGTGTTTGGAATTCCCAGATGCTCTTCTTTCTTTTCTTGTCTTTTTTTTCTTTCTTTTTTCCTCCATTCCTTCCTCCATTCCTCCCTGCCTTTCTCCCTGCCTTTCCCTCTCCTCTCCTCCCCTCTCCTCCCTCCCTCCCTCCCTCTCTCTCCTTCCTTCCTCCCTGCCTTCCCCCACTCCCTCCCTCTCCTTCCTTCCTCCCTCCCTCCCTCCCTGCCTGCCTTCCCCTCCCTCCCTCCCTCCATCCCTCCCTCTCCTTCCTTCCTTCCTCCCTCCCTCCCTCCCTCCCTCCCTTCCTTCCTTCCTTCTCTTTTTCTTTCTTTCTCTCTCTCTGTCTTTCTTACATAGGTTTTTGGGGAAGAAGTGGTATTCAGTTACATGAATAAGTTCTTCAGTGGTGCTTTTTGAGATTTTGGTGTACTTATCACCCAGGCAGTGTACACTGTGCCCTAATATCCCTTATCCAAAATGCTTGGCCGGGAATGTTTTGGATTTCAGATTTATTTTTGATTTTGGTATATTTGCATATATATAATGAAATATTTTAGGGATGGGACCCAAGTCTAAACTTGAGATTCATTTATGTTTTATATAGACCTTACATGCATAGCCTAAAGGTAATTTTATACAATGCTTTTGATAATTTTATGCATGAAACAGTTTGTGTTAAGTGTCTATATGTGGAATTTTTCATTGTGGCATCATGTCGGCACTGAAAAAATTTTGGATTTTGGAGCATTTTAGATTTCAGATTTTCAGATCCGGAATGCTCAGGCTGTAGACTCTTTCTTTAATGATAACATTCTCAGCGAATGTAATTTGGAATATCAACTTGATTTTCAGGGCAAGGGGACTCGAGATAAGGTCCTGATCAGAATCATGGTCTCCCGCAGTGAAGTGGACATGTTGAAAATTAGGTCTGAATTCAAGAGAAAGTACGGCAAGTCCCTGTACTATTACATCCAGGTAAGTCCGAGGTGCGGCGTCAGCCTGCCCTGCCGCCCAGAGCCCCCCGGGCCACTCTGGGCCCCGGCAGGTGGCCTGGCAGTATGATGACACGATGGTGATTTTCTGTTTTCTAACTCTCTGGGGAAGAGATACTAGTCATCAACTATCAGGGATTTATTTTGAAAGCACATTTGTGATTTGTCCTGGACTTTGTAGAATCAGGCAGATGTTTTATATTCACATCTGTTACTCTACAATGATCATGGGTGTTCATGACGATGGTCCTGCAAGGCTTGCTGACATCCCAAAGAGACTTGGAAGATCAATTACATTTTACTTTTATTATGCATTTATTCCTTGAAAAATCCTCTGGGATGGGCCTGACAACTTTCAGTTACTCAGAACTCCCATCTCTCCAATCAGTTTAGCCTCTGTCTGTTTTGGCGTGATGTCGCATTTGCGTGTAAGGAAGTGATCGCATTCACAGTGGTACCACTGTGTGGATTTCAGACAGCCATGGCAATTCTGCTTTCTAAAAGTTCCTCAGATGTCCAAAGCCATGTCCATGTTACCAAGGATGAAGTTAGAGCTGGGTTTTTTATGGCCAGGTTTATTAGGGCACATGTTTAAAGTCAAAGGACCAGTTAGACTCTTAGTAATTGTTCCTCACCTCATCAGCTTCTTTCCACTTGACCTTAATAATGCAGGAAATAGCAGAGTGAGCTAGGGAAGTACCCTGTTCTCTGTGGAAAGGCGAGGATGAGAGAGGAAAGTTGGGGTGTTTGTAGGACCTTGCTGCAGTAAGAACAGCCCTGGTCACTAACCCAGGTCAAGCCTCAGCATTTTGCACTCCCTCCACCCCACAGTCCTAAGGAGACTTGAATGTCTTCCCCAGCACCTCCTCTGACCACACTCCCAGAGGCTTCCTTGGCAGTGGTTTGGGTGTGGCCTTCCAGGCCTTTGTGTCAGGGCAGGTCTCCTGAAGAGTCTTCTCTTTGTCGTGGGAGAGGCTTCGTTGGGCATTGAGGCTACTTCTGTGTTACTGAGGAGTCTGAGCTTTTTTCTGATACCGCATTTCTTTTTTCTCCTGGGTCATTTGTAGCAAGACACTAAGGGCGACTACCAGAAAGCGCTGCTGTACCTGTGTGGTGGAGACGACTGAAGCCCGACACAGCCTGAGCGTCCAGAAATGGTGCTCGCCATGCTTCCAGCTAACAGGTCTAGAAAACCAGCTTGCGACTAACAGTCCCTGTGAGGGTGACATTAGCATTGCCCCCAACCTCATTTTAGTTGCCTAAGCATTGCCTGGCCTTCCTGTCTAGTCTCTCCTGTAAGCCAAAGAAATGAACATTCCAAGGAGCTGGAAGTGAAGTCTATGATGTGAAACACTTTGCCTCCTGTGTACTGTGTCATAAACAGATGAATAAACTGAATTTGTACTTTAGAAACACGTCCTTTGTGGCCCTGCTTTCATTGTTGGAAAATTAAACGTGCTTGGTGTTCAGCTGGTGAGGCTGTCCCTCGAGGAAGAAAGCTCGAGGACTGAGCTGTACAATGTGGTTGCCCCTATCCAGGTGTCACTATTTAAGTTACATTTAAATGAAATTAAAAATTCAGTTGCTGAGTCACACAACCCACATTTGGAATGCTCAGTGTTCACATGTGGTCAGCAGCTAGTATATCTAGACAGCACAGGTAGGGAACATTTCCATTATGCTAGAAAGATCTGTTGGGCAGCAGTACGTGCCCAGGGCATGAGAGGATCTATGGGGGAGAAAAAGGATCCCAGAGGGGACACCTCATCTGCTTATCTTCTTACAGGTTAATTAGGGGAAAACAAGCATCACAACTGGCAGCCACAAACTGGGGAGAGCAGTGGGGCAGGGTGGGGCAGGCAAAGGAGATCCGACACAAGCCGACGGGGAGCACAAAGAAGGGATTTCTTTTGACTGGGAGGATTGACAAAGATGACAGAGAAAAGGAACCATTTGAGCTGCACCCTAAAATCGAAGGTGAGGTTTTACAGCCGGGAGAAAGCACTCCATGCAGGTTCTTAGGGGTCTGGGAATGAATGACAGGTCACTCATACAATGGTACACATGTCAAAAAGTTCAGAGACAGTTTTCTGTTCGGTGAAAGTTATGTCTCCCCTGCACCAGCCAGTGGCCTTCACTGGAGTTGCCTGGTTTCCAGTATGTTTTCATGGATAGACTGCATATGCATGTATATATGTGTATGTATCCATCTGTGTTCATAAATGTGAAGGTACTGTCCCCAGGCTGCCAGTCCTGGGTTCTGCAGATTCCTTTTTATACAAGTGCTTCCCCTAAGCAGGGTGTAGGGCTGGGAGTGAGGGGAAGGTGATGAGTCCCCCTAACCCTTCTCAGTGGAGGGTGTGTCAACTACTCATTTTTGGCACCTGGCTGATGCAGGGCCCACTCGGTCATCTGCAGGGACTAGGTAGGTAATGGAAATGAATGTACGAAATGGGCAGGTTGGACAGAAGTGGGGAGTCGGGGGAAAATGGGGAATGCCTGCCTTGCTGGAGGCATTCAAATCCAGTTCAAACAACAGTTGCAGCAGCATGGCATTGACCAAACCAAATACAGCCGTGAGCTGACTGGCTTGCTGTTTTGGCCCTTCGGCAAACTTGAGATGGAAATTTGGATGGAGCATGGCTCCTGGGTCACTAGTGGCCCATAACGGGTACCTGTAAAGCCCCTGAGATAGTCCTTAAAAGGCAGGTCATGCAAAAATCAGGTATTTTATCAAATGTGTCCTGCCTATACCTATTAGAATGGATGCCTCAAATCTCAAAATATACTGTTCTGTGTGCTTGGGGCAGAGTTGAAGGAACTGCCTAAGAAGCAGGACCTTTCTCATTAACCCTAAATTATATTGAACTCAGAATTGATAGGGCTGGACAGAGGCTGTCAGGAGCCATGTTTCAGATCAGTAAACATTTAGGCATTATTACCTCTCAATCACACGTGTATTTCAGGCTGCAAAGGAAGCAGTGGTGTGGAGAAGACAAGGTCATGGGGTGAATGTGGGGAAACTTAGGCTCCCACTGTGCCCAGGACAGTCTGGCCACTGGTGTGACCAGCAGGTATGTGGGAAAGTCCAAAGGGCAGACCAACATAGGAAAGGTGCTTGGAGAACTGTTTCGAACACTGTCTACTGTCTTTCCTCTATACAAAGCAATGGCAGTCCAGTGTTTTCAAAACTCACAACCAGGGCACTTGGAATTTGGTCCCATTTTCTTCTGGATTTCAGCCTGTCCTCCTCAGTCAAGCTGTTCAAACTGTTTCTTGAATAAAGAGAACCATCTGGAGGTTTGACTATTCTCCCCAGAAATTTTACTTTGCAAAGAGAAGGAAAAGGGTACCTGGCAGGCTGTGAGTTGGTAACAAGAACTTTGATTTTATTCTTGGAGGAATAAAAGGTAATTGATGCAATGTAGCTATGAAAACTTATTGCACTATAACACTGTGATTGAGAACATGATTTTTTCTCCCTGCCTTGGTGGGGCTGGGCAGGGCCATCATGTTGCACAACCCCAGAGAACACTCATCCTGTTCTAGTCTATGTGAATGGTATCTCCCTTGGTGGTGTGCAGTGCACAACCTGTGCAGCCATACTCGACAGCCCTGTATTGTGACCTAGGTGTGTGTGAGATGATCTATTCGGCCTTTTGCTACAGAGTTGTCTTTCAGATTAAAAAGTTAGAAGGCAAATCTTATTTAGAAACAAATGGGTGAACCCAGAAAGGTCTTGACTTTTCCATGGACTCTTGATTTTCAGACCAGTTTTACTGGGCTATGCACAAATGGCTGTATATACGAATCTTCCCCAGTATGTGAAGTTCCCATGGTATAAACTATTAATAAAGATAGCTAAGGCAGGGAAAACCAGGCTCACAAAATGGCTACATTTAGCAAGACAAATGATTTGAGGACAGAAATCTTTTAAATCAGTTTTTAGTCTTTAAATGACTCCCGTCTCCAGTCCTCTTTCTGTGTTTTGACAAACGGCTTTGGCTTCTTATCCACATCAGTTTATTTGACCTCCTTTTTCCATCAACTACCAAAATGAAAACTCGGCTGTGAGAGAGAGGAGAGAGTGCGAGCAATTTTAAACATCCCTTAGCAATGAGGCAGAACATGCTATAGCCATCAAGTTCTAGTTGTTCATTCTATTTATTGAAAAAAGCTTGTAGCCTGATTTCTTTTATGTGAGTACATTTGAGCAAGCAAAGTTTATAGAGATGACTTATCTCATTACATTAGAAGAGTGATTTGCTATCTCAGCATCTACAAGCAATTTTAACAGACATTTCTGGATGAAGAAAAGGTTTTGTAAATATATGCGAAAGACACAATTTCATCAAGCATTAAATTGGAGGTGCCCTGGAAAAATATTACATTTGTGCATTCAATTAGCTAGATTGTGGCTGAATTTTGTCCACTGAAGGCAGCATTTCTGCAGAAAAACAGAAGCATTCTCTATGTCAGCAGGTTTCCCGAAACAAAACCACCCTTTCCCCCTTTGCCAGTCCTCTTTTGCATTTGTGCTGTTCCCAGCTCTGTGTCCCTAATCGGACCTCTCGGTCTTGTTCCTCGCAGTAGAATGTTAGAGGAGAGGGAACCAGATAGAAATCCCTAATAGAAATCCAAACTCAACAATTCCAGCTTTAAATAGCCTGCATTCAGCGCAAAAGCCAGGCAAGCTCTGGACAAAACTGGGAGGGCGTCAAAGGTAGACTTAAGTCTTCCTGGTCTCCTTACGTTTCTGTAGGACAGCTGTGCCTCCTGCTGCTCCCAGGACTCTGCTGGCCTCCTTACTGCTTCGGGAAGGGCATCTCCCAGTTACTTCTTGGTATGGCTGTTAGCCCATGTCCTTTTCCCTGGGATGAGTCTGCAGGACCCACTCTATCTTCTGTCTTGGAATGGAAGTTTTGTCCTTCTATTACAGGAATGAGAAGAGTTAGGAAATGAATGGTTGGGATACAAGAGAGCTTTCCTGTGCCCCTAAAATCAGTGAAGGAAACGAGCTAAATATTTAGGGATGATCATGGTCCTCCTCCAACACACCCCCGACCCCCTTGCTGACCTGTAGTTGAACCATCAGGTCTCTACTAATAAGAAACAAACCAGAAAAAGCATGTAATGCCAGTGGAACCTGGCTGTGGGGGTGGCTGATGTTTTTCAACCGTAGGTGAGGACGCATTGGAACTTTCTCAGCTGTAATCCATTACAGCCTGATACGGTTTGGCTCTGTGTCCTTAGCCGGATCTCATCTCGAATTGTAATCCCCACGTGTGGAGGGAGGGAGGCGATTGGATCACAGGGGTGGGTTTCTCTCATGCTGTTCTTGTGACAGTGAGTTTTCATGAGATCTGATGGTTTTACCACTGTCTGGCATTTCCCCGGCTTGCACGTCTCTCTCCTACCGCCATGTGAAGAGGGTTCACGCTTCCCCTTCACATTCTGCCATGACTGTAGTTTCCTGAGGCCTACCCACCCATGTAGAACAGTGAGTCAATTAAACCTCTTTTCTTTATAAATTACCCAATGTCGGGTAGTATCTTTACAGCAGGTGTGAGAATGAACTAATATATAGCCCAAGGTCATGGTGCTTTCAAGTAAATGTGTAGAGATTAATGAATCCAAGAAATAGCAAGGAGTTTGGATTAGGAACAGAGAAATGTTTGAAACAAGTCTTGGTTACTCTGAGATTGCCAGATTTCAAATTTTACCATGGAGTCTTGGGCTTTGGAGAACCATCTTGTCTCCACGAATTGGCTTTGTCTGAATAGACATGGGCTGATACATGACGATGAAGGTCTGTTAAAGTCTAGAGTTCTGCAGGTAATACTGGTCCTCAGTCAGCCATGTATTCATTCACTGACTTCATTTATTCAATACACATACCTCCTATGTGCTGGTCCCTGAACAAAGCACCAGGGAGAAGGAGATAAGAGAGAGTAAGAACAAGGCAAAGTCAGCCAAGCAGAATAACAAGGGCAGTAATTGGGACAACCACAGGCACTTGGGGGTCGAGAGTAGCTGATTGCATCCAAGAGAAGCACCTGGAAGGTTTCTAGGGGTAGCAATCCTTTTTTGTTTTGTTCTTTTTTTTTTTTTTTTTTTTGACAAATCCTTGCTTTGTCACCCAGGCTGGAGTGCAGTGGTGTGGACATGGCTCACTGCAGCCTTGACCTCCTAGGCTCAAGCTATCTTGCTGCCTCAGTCCCCTGAGTAGCTGGGACTACAGGTGCATGCCACCACACCTAGATAATTTTTGTATTTTTTGGTAGAGATGGAGTTTTGCCGTGTTGCCCAGACTGGTGTCAAACTCCAGAGTTCAAGCGATCCACCCACCTCGGCCTCCCAAAGTGCTGGGATTACAGGCGCAAGGAGGCAATCCATAAAGCTGGATTTTGTTGTT